CTGGAGGCTTTTGAGAGAGAGGGGCTGGGGGAGGGAGGGTGGGTGGGTGGGAAGGAAAAATGGCTGGTTGGCTGCTCTGTGTATATAGGAAATCTGCTCTGGGCTGGGGGCCTGAAACCCCCCCCCTTTCTTCTTTGACACTGGACTGGGTCTCAGCAGCTCTGGGAGACCTACAAACACAACACAGGACCTCGTTTTGGGTTCTTGTGATGCGTGTTTTGGGAGGGGGGAGTTTTGGACCTCCTTCCAATTACAGAGGGAGAGGAGCAGGAAGAAGAAGGAAAGAAATGGGTGTCCCGTTTTTCATGCTTCTGGTGCCTGCTCTGGTTGCTGTTCTCTCTCTTCTTTCTTTTCCCGTTTGGTTTGGTTAATTTAAATGATCGACTTTTGCAAAAAAAAAGATTTAAAAAAACTCAAGGAGAGAGAAACTTACTTTGCACAACTAGGATGTTTTATTTGGAAACTTTATGTGTACATGTAACCTCCGATCCTGACATTGTAGCATTACAAAAAAGCAAACAAACAAACCCCTTCAGATGGGACCCAGCTAAGCACTTTCCAGTGGAACACTTTTAAAAGGTCCCTCTTATGTACAGAGACGAGCATGTGGGTTTCCTTTCACTAGTTGATCCTCAGCGGGACTGCCAGACGCTTAACTTTGGCTGGATTGTGCCCTTTGTTTTTGTATAACTGGTTGATTAAAAGAAGCAAAACCACTGTTATTGTCATCTTTGTGGCTGCCTCCAGAAGTGAGTGGAAGTACTGTCTTTACAACACTTTAATTTTTTTTGTTCCTGTTTTTTTTTTAAGTGCTCAAATGCAAACTCTGTACAGCTGTACACTTTTATTTTCACAGGTCAACTTCTAAGCCTGTGTGAGAATAAATTGTGTTTCTCTGTTTCAGAGAAGTGGTTTAAGTATTTCTCTTCCTTGCCATTTTTTTTTAAAAAAACGATGGTACTAAGGTCTTTATTAAAAACAAAAGAAAATATAGAACACTAAATTGACCTGTTTGAAAGAGAAGACATGTGAAGTTTACAAAAATTATATTAAGCTGTGTATGCAGGTTGTTTGTTTTTGTAAAGTATTAAAAGATTCTATGACTATGTGTGTGAGAGGGTTTGTCTTGCTTTGTTTGCTTTCCTTTGTGATGAAGGAATGCTCCTTCATATAAAACGTGAAGCATTTAGGTTTAAAGGGTCTCTATAAAAAGGTTGTTGGCTCAAAGCTTCATTATTGCGTTAGAACCCTGCCCTACCAAAGCTGATTTCTTTCGCTAATTGAAATATTCTATAACAGGATCCATTATAGAGAAATCCTGTTGATGTAAGCTTAAGATATATGCAGGGTTGCCATCCTCTGGGCTACAGGATAAGCTTATGGATATCTGGCACTCTGGAAACATTTCAATAAGTTGAGGCAGGAAAAACAGCTTTTAAAAATTATCTTGATTTCTATCTCAGTAACAAAACAGCTGAGCAGCATTTTTTAAAAAGCCTTTGTCCTGCTGGGGTGAGGTCAGTGCTGCTTGCCCTGTGTTTTCTGGGTCCTAATGCCTGTCCATGTGGCCTAAGTGGTGAACACTAATCTCCTTTAAGAGCAGCACACATCCGTGGGATAAGCGCTGAATATATATGTCAGCACCAGACAAAAACCTGAGATTTTGAAGCTGGCAACAATGTCTATACATGAGCTGCTCGTACTGTTTTCTGTGTATCCCTGGAGACCTCGGCTTCATTGAAAACTGAAAGCATTCCATGGTCACTTCTGCAGTTTTTTCTGTAATCTGGGTTTTGACTTGATTTGTTGTTACTTTACTGTGGTTGTCTCCTGGGGATATAGTAAGTCCCACCTAAAGTAGGCCTATTGAGTCAGTGGAACTATACAGGAGTTAACTCACCAAATTCTCCAGTTCAGTTCGTTAATCCTAGCTACAATTTACTACTACACTTAGTAACAGGATTTAAGTTCCATGTAGCTTCCGTATTTAAGTGATTTAAGCTAACTTAAGTGATAAATCTTGCCTCCCCCCCCCTTTATTATATTCCATGGAGAAACCTGATTCATGGATTTTTCCAAGTGATTAAAAAAATCACCAGAATCAAAGTATAGTCCCACCTCAAACTACATCACCCATCCCAACCTTGCCAGATCAATATTCTCATTATGCCAAGCTATTGCCAATGCTGACTGGGGATGATGGGTGTTGTAATCACACATATCTGAAGGGTGTTTGGTTGGGAGAGACTGAATTGGATTTTATCAGGATTCATAGCCTGTGAATTTTCTCTGACGTGCCAGAATTCTCTTGTGAGTGATATTAACATTTTCTAAACCTTTTTCAGTTTTTAAGAAAAGAAAGCTGAGGTTGGCATCAAAGAACTACATTCTTGGTCTGAAGGGGAATAGGAAACTTTCCTGTGGGATGAAATTTATTTGTTGAGATTAGCCTTCAGACAGTTTATAGAGGCTATTTCTGATAAGGGCAAGAAGATTTGTTCCTTGGAAGGCAAGGGAGAAGATTAATATTCCTAAAAGGGAGAAAAATCACTCTGGAGAAGTGGTTCAAAAAAGATCTGGGATTTTACTGCAAGCTCAGGCCTCTCACTCAAACAGCCTACATGAATTCAGATGCCTGTTAAGTTTGCTACCAAGAGCTTGACATGTACCTGCAGTTTGGTAAAGTGTTCAGATCAGGTCTGTTTTGCATGTCAAATAGGGTAATTGAGCATGTGTACAAGAGGGTGCAGAAATTCAACTGAGCTGGTACAATTGGCATCATAAGTTTTGGGCAGGTTGCATGACTTGCCTAAAAGGCCTCTCGTTTTCATTACCATTAACCTCAGTATATAAGCCAGGAAAGCTGGCACGTTTGACTTTTGAACTCAATTCAGTATAAACAGGATGAAATCCAAGAGATTGCTTGATTTGACCCAGTTGCATAAAATGAGCTGTCGGTATTCTCCAGCACATTGACCAGGGCAAGGTCTGCTATAAATTCAGCAGTGCGGTGTTGGTGAAAGTATTTTCAGGTTTTCCGCAGGAACTACTGAGGATAGAAGTGGGCAACCTGCTGTCATTGGCCTGATCTTCAAAAGTCCTCTGTAGGTGATCAGACCTCGGGAGACCGATCTGTTCCTTTTGTGGCAGCCAGAGAAGGAAAGGAAGAGGGCAACAGCAGTGGGTGGGAAATGAAGGCTGAACCTATTTGTTTTGGGCCGTGTCTCAATCCGCGTAGTATTTGCTTCATCACCATCCTCCATCAGCACAAAGGCTTGGCAGATTTAAACAGTCTCCCCTTGAATGTGGCCCTAAACCTTTAAGGATTTACCTACTCTGTCTCAGATACTTGAGTTTTGCCATGTGGAATTGTGATGCTCTGTATGTACTTCACAGAGCTAGCAGGACTACCTTTCTTACCCTGCCTTTCTCCTTGAAAAGTAACCAAGGTGGTTTGCAACAGTGAAAGACAAGATCAAAGTTGAAGACAAGGAGTATGCAACAGTGGTTAGCATCATTAAAGAACAATGAGTAAAGAGGCATCTTACGTAATTAAAAGGAAATATAGCTAAGAACAGTTAAGTATACAATTTTTAAAAATGCCACTCTGAGAAATGGAAAACACAAGTGGTACTAAAAATTCAATCAAGCCAGCAATGCATCACAATCCAGCTTAAAAAAAAAATCACACACAGGTAGATACAGGAACACCCCCAAGATGTGCACCTAGTTTTTTTTTAATGGGAGTGTTACTGAGGGAAGGCTTGCTTGAAGAGAAAGGTCTTTGCTTGTGCAAGGGCAGCAAAGATGGGGGCCAGTCTGGCCTCCTGTGGGAGGGAGTTCTAAAGCTTGGGAACAGCAAGAGAGAAGGCCCTCTCCTGTGTTCCCACCAAATGCACCTTGGAAGTGGGAGGGACTGAGAGAAAGGCCTTTTTCTGATTCTTTTAACACTCCAGCCACCTCATAATGGGGGATGTGGTCTTTGAGATAGCTTGGACCCAGGCCATTTTGGGCTTTGTAGGTTAAAACCAGCACTTTGAATGGTGCCCAGAAATTGATCAGCAGCTGGTGGAGCTGCTGTCACAAGGGGTTTATGTGATCCCTGTAACCACCGAACCCCAAAACTCCAAACAACCACCCAGTTTAAGGTAGAGACATTAAATAACGTAGGAGACAAAACAGAACCCAGGGGGGACACCACAGGTCAGCAGCCAGGGTGTCAAACAGGAAGCCCTCAGCACCACCTTCTGAGCTCTTTGCTCAGAAACTAGAAGTGGACAGAGGCATGGACTAGGTCTCTGGAAACTGGGGTTCGAATCCTTGCCTGGCCATGGAAACTCATGGAGGTGGTGATTTGGAACTTGTAGCACTGCTCTTTAAATATCTCGTTTATCTTGAAAGCCCTATCAGGGTCATTATAAGCCTGTTCCAAACTGAAGGCACATGAAAGAACAAGGGAAATTCACAGAGCCAGGATTGCACTTGCACAGTTAACAATGTGCATCGGAATGCACTTTGTATCGACACTGCGTATTGCAATCTCCGTGCAAGCTCGAGGTATTTGTGGTGAGCTCCTTCTC